GTGCATTCAGAGGGTCCCCAGGGAAATCGAACCCCAGCTGCCCATAGTGATAACTAGCTCATTAACACACTTCACGTAACTTTACTCTCTTCTCTGTCTCACTTTTCACGTTCTCTCATTTCTCCTTCTTTGGACCACCTGCCAAATAAACTACCCATGCCGTAAGTCCCTTTCCCAGGCTCTACTTTCCAAGAAACTCAAACTATGAAGTGGTGCAGTTAGGACTCAAACTGAAGCAACATGCCTCCACTGTCTTTGAGTGGCAACAAGAGTGTGTTGCCTCTAAGTAGAAGAATGTGGTACAGTACACTCTGGATACTAAACATAAGTGGGAAACAATGAACACACATATACACAGCAACATGGAGAGAGACCTTTTTGGTGTTGAAGAAAATAGTGGGGAAAAAAGGGCAGAATATCTGTAGCAAAACCTAACTAGGTCAATTAAACACATACACACCAACACCACCACTGTATGTTTTGGAAGGATGCATTCATTCAAAGACATACAGCAAACAAATTAGAGTGGTTTCCTTTGGCAGGAAGAGAGGAAAATGAGAGTGGAGATCAAGAATAAAGACAAAATAAAATAAATCAATTCAGGGGTCTTATGAAGAACAAAGTAATTTTACTGCCATAAATTGAAGCCATGATTAGCTCAAGTTTCTGAACCACAGTTCAAAACAGAGAGAAAATAAAGGTGAAAGTAACTCACTACGTTAACTATTACTTGACATGAATAGGAGGTTATCAAAATAAATATATAAATAGGAAAAAATTTAAAAACTCATCTCTGTGCCACCTAAAATCATTATGAAAACTACCGGCAGTACATATGCTACACTTTGGGAAACACTACCGTGACTATTCTAAGAATAACAAAATAATAGAAGAGATCTTTAAAAAAAAATTATATACATACATATGTATACACACATACATACATATGATAGCACAAGTATGAATTAAGTTGAGAGCTTAACCAGATTTCTGCTAAAGAGAGGAAACAAACTGAAAATAGTTCAAGATGGGTAAGTATAGCTCAGTGGCAGAGCACATGCTTAGCGTGCACGAGGTCTTGGGTTCAATCCCCAGTACCTCCACTAAAAAAAAAAGTTCAGTCATAGAGCCTTTTCTTAACGTGATGCTTTCCTTCTGCAATTGTATCATGTTTTCCAGTTTTACACAACGTATAACTACAAAACAAATAGTGACTATATTTTCAATACACAGTGTCACAATTCTAAATATTGCAAAGTCCCAAATCAGCCATTAAATAAGAGTTTAAAAGAATTTTAATAAAAGCATCAAAACTAGTTAGTTTTGTATCACGAGGTAATATTACCTCGCTTTAAGGTATTTCTCTAAGGACATTATCATATTAATGCTTATTTATTCATGTGGAACCATCAAATTCTACTTAATGCCTTCACAGGTCCCTGTTCATTTAGCAATAATTCTATTAAAGAAGGTACTATCTTTCAGTAAAAGTGTCAGAACTATACCTGTGGAAATACTTTAAACATTCTTAAATTTTACTAAATCTTACATAGCATTTAAAACTATAACAAAAGAGATAAATATGAGAATAGTATTTATTTTTCTAAAAACAACTTTTCTAAAAGAGGCAGTACTTTGCTTTTCTTCCCCTTTCAGTATGCTAAGGCTTGAAAAATATACAGAAATGTCTGTTGTGTGTAAACAAATGAAGAGATCAACAATACAGTAGAACATCAATTTTCATGTTTCTTTAAACTTAGAAAACTTAGATTCAACTGGCTTTAAAGGATTACTTATGTTTGCTATTAGTGATGTCCAACATTATCCCTGCTACCCAGATAAAAACCATGGGCATCATCATCTCTTTTCAACATCTAGCCACAAATCAGTGTCCATTCTTGCTTCACAATACCTACTCCAGTTAGTCTTTCTTCTCTATTTCCACTATCACCACCCTGATTGAATTCTAATTACCTTATTATGCCTAACTGCTCCTCCAGCCTTGCAAGCTCCCTGACTCCTCACTCCATTTCTGCTTGTTCACACATCACTGCTAGAGTAATTTCCCTAAAATATATGTCATACTTTCTATCCTCTCTACGACCTCTACTGCACTCGTATATATTCATTTTCTATCAATCAGCTTTTCCAGAAATATCTTTTAATTCTTTTTACCTATCCAAACTCTACTTGTCTTTCAAAGCCTAGCTCAAGTAACCCTACTATGTTCTACCTGTACTTCTCAGAGCTATAGAACTAGGAGCAGTAATTTATTCCTTCGGCATTTATCAGTTTTCCTGGCAAAGCTGGTTATCACTATTCATATTACTTATGTACATACCTTACTGATACAAATATAAACAGAGGTTGGGGACCATGTTCTTTATATTCTGACTCCTCCTTTGTGACTTGCTGTTACATAGTTTAACAGGGACCAAAAAAAGTAATATCCTGGAGAACAAAAGTAAGTGTTCTGGGTCCTTAAACTAAGAAGGAACTTATTCTTAAAATCAAAGGAATATTGATCAGAAAGGACCTCAGGGATGAACTGGCACTTGAGATGGGTTTTTAAAAGCTGATAGACCTTCCACAAGACAGAAAAAGAGGGAAAAATACAACGAGAAAAAAAATATCATGAATAGAGGGGAGAGAAACACAGGACAATTTCAAATCATCAGCTGAAGAGTGCCGTACACATAGGGGTACAGAAGAAGAAAACTGAACATTTGCCAAATGATCAGTGCTTAAAGAGTTTCACAATGTCAAGTAAGCTGATCTCTACCATAACCAAGAGCCTCATTATCTGTTGCCTGAAACAATTAAGAGTATCCTGTCTCTCTGCTTTTGGTTATCTCCACCTTCCAAACTGTCATTCATATCACTGCCAAATTAACTGTAATAAAACATAATTAAGATCCAAAATACCTCTGTGAAAATTTTTCAGTGACTGCCAACCACTCACAAAATAAAGTCAAAACTCACCATAGCATTGAGAGTTTTTCACAAACAAGCTCTCTTCCAGCCTTGTCCCTCAAACCCTCTCTCATATCCTGAATTCAAATCATACAAAATGATTGCTTCTGTCTTTTGTACATTCTCTACATTTGAAGCTTCCCCTGATTCCACTGGGCTCTGTGCATGAAATTCTCTTGCTTCCCAAATTACACTCAGCAATCTTCTACTCATCCTTTAAGACATTACTCAAATATCATTTCCTATGTGAAGCCTTCCTGACAATTCTCTCCTCTAACAATGTTGGCGGAGCCTTTCTACATGATACCAATACACCTTTCCAATCTCACATAGCACTTTTCAAACTGCACTCAAATAAACTTCGTATACTCATTTCTGAACAGACTATTCTTTGAGAGTAAAGCAAAGAACTCGTTTCAACTCAATGTTATGTGTTCTCAGCGCCTAACAGTGCCTGGGATAGGGTAAGTGTTTAGTAAGTATTTAAAGGGAAGAAGAAATGGATGGATGCAGGCAAAGGTGTCACTCACTTAAAGCTACACTGTTGAGAGACTTTACTATTAGAGGAGTTTGAATTTGTCCTTACTTTCATAGGCTAACAAAGAGTTACCAATAGTAGATGCAGAATTATCTTTTAGAAAATTTAAGCTGGTAGCAACATGTAGAGGGAAAAGAGAGAGAGGAGAGGCACAAAGTCAGGAGAGCCTTGCAATACTGCAGGTGAAATGTAATACAAGGACCTAAACTTGGATGGTGATGAGGGGATTAGAAAAGAGAAGATGAAAACATTCATGATACATTACAGACATAAGACTGATACGACCTGATCTTCGACTAAGAGTAGGAAGGGAAAGATGAGGAATCAGATTAGAAACTGAGACTTTGAGTGCAGGTGAAAAGAGGCTCAGTAACAGAAGTGGGAACACTTGAGTGTGAGGCAAAGAGTTGAAAATATGCGTCAAAGCTTAGAAAAGTATCACAACTGAGATATGAGGTTGAGCGAGATCATTTTTTAGAGGTAATTGCTGAAATCAAGTAATTAGGAAAAACATAAAGAAAAAAACAGAAGAATTTCAAAGATAAAACCTTAGAAAAGGTCAGTATTTATGAATAGGAGGACAATTATCCAATTTATTTTCAACTGGAAAAAAAAGAATAGGAGGAGAAAGAAAAAAAAAATTGAAGGAGTAATTAAAGAATTAGAACCAGAACAGCATAGGGTCATAGAAGCCAACAGCATTTCAAGAAGGGAAAAACAGCAACTTCTACAGTGATCAACGAGTAGGACACCTAACACAACACAGCTGGAAAGTCTGAATGTTTCTCAAAAGAGCAAACAGCACTCTGGTAGGGAGACAAGGACGATGAATGAATGCTATAAGGAAGCAGAAGCAATAAGCAAAACCTACTATTTAAAGAGGAAAAAGTACAGACTGCTTCATAAAAGTACACGTTCCATTTATTTTTTTAAAAAATATAGATCCCTGAAGGATTAAATCTTTTACCTGATAATCTAAATGATAATCTAAATGGATAACTCTAAATGGATTTGAAAATAATAAACTTGATTTCTCTGTACATACTGTCTCAGAATGGCTTCTTCTCCCACTTCGTTCAATAAATTCTATCTCCAAATATCTATTATTCTAATATAACAATTTTATCTGAAATTCTAACATGTGAAAGTTTCAGAATAATGTAAACGTTATTTTTAATATAATCTTCCATTCTAACCTCTGTTTTGTCATCATTAGAGGGAAAAATAATTACATACATCATTTAATGCTTATCTTCTACAATTAGAGTGAAGATATATTAGTAATAAGTAAATATTTTTTACTCCTGAAGAGTTTCAACATTTGTAAGGAGAGGAAAATATGTTAGAACAACTTATGAACTCATACAGAGGGTGATTAAAGATGAAGAAATTACAGTTGCAGTGGTAACACAGAAAAAACATTTTCAACTGTTGAGAAATGAAAATTTTCATATTATTCCAATTATTTTCTTAAAAGTCTTTTTCTTACCTCAGAGATGTGGCTAAATAAAACTGTACTTCCAATTTTCTCCAAACAGCTTTGACCTATGCTTCCATCTCATGAATTCCAAGACAGTATTAAACTGATGCATATTTTCATAAATCTGTTTAGGAAAAAAGGTACATATTTAAGACTAAAAGAACTTTTATTTGTCAGAATAACACATGTAGAAGGAATACTAAAAGTGTATCATGTGTAGACTATATCTTTTCAATGTTAAGTCAACGAAAAGTTCTACAGTACTTCAGAAACTTACCACTTTCCCATTTTCCCAACCTCTGCCCAAAGAAGCTTCACATTCTGAGTATTTTCAACTTTACAAATTACTAGTTCTGTGGAAAAAATTATATTAGCCTAAGCTTCTGGGGAAAAAAATCATATCTCAAATTGAAAACCAGGAACAGCTAGAGGAAGCACTAACAGCTCTACAGGACTCAGGTCTCCACTTGGGCAACAATGTATTTGACCACCAAGCTAGTATTTCACATTTTATCACAAAGGCTCAGTAAGCAGTTTTAATTTCAGCCAAACTTCTACCTAGAGTACTAGGAATTGTGAGGGTCAAGAATTAATTGCACTGCTTAAGCAGGTCTAAGTCCATGAGATAGGTCTCAACTATATTACTACTGCCATCAGTACTCTACTGCCTTAATAAGAGACAACGTTCATAAATCTAAAAGATAGAAATCATTAAAAATTTTAATTTATTTAAAGACAGGTGTGCTGTTTACTTAGAGATCAAAAAAATAATTACACTGAATGTATCTTTTAACTGAAACTTCAAATAGCAAAGTATTCTGTTTCATATTTTAAAAGGCAAAATTTTAAGCTGTATGAACATTACTCATGTCCCACTGCAAGGTCAAAATGCCTCTGTCTTCAAGTCCATTTAGAAGTATCGTTTGTGTTACACTGAGGTTTAGCAGTCTTGGCAATAATGACTAAATTCATGTAAACTGGGGCAACCTGAAACGGTCTGGCATATCAGATAGCCTTTCTTAAAGACAAGAGTCTCCACTCAGCAGACAGGCTGCCATAGGACCATGCTAAATCTTTCATGGTCCAACTAAAGACAGACTGACCCTGAAGCAATTAGTAATGCTTTGTCTGCATTTAGGAGCCTTTAACAACACTCTTCTCAATGCACTAGCCACCTACAACTTCACCAGATCCCTGACATTTTTCAGGGTACTCGTATGACTATAAAACTCTTAGACCACCACTCAGAGAAATGAGGGAGGGCAGTAATGGAGATCTGGTGTTCAGGGTTTTGTTTGTGTTCTTTCCCCACTCTGAGACATCGCAGTCTGAAAAATTTTTACCTTACACTAATCAAAAAATAAATGCATATGTTTCCACTTTGGAAAGAGCATCAAGATTTTCCTCCAAAGCCATTCTTTGCCAATAACTCCATTCTTCCCTACGGGTACATAGAAGAAAGGAGGCAATCACTACATTAAACAAAGCTCAGATAAACCTATTCTCATAATATGTTTTAAATAGTTCATCAAAGTGACTATGTTTAAAAATATATGGCCTGATTCTAATTCTAACCAGATATTTCCAGTGGATCAACAATAAATAAAATCAACATGTAAACCACTTACCAATCATTGTTTATTATAGCACTATTTATTAAAACACTGCTTCCTTGGTGCAGAAAAAAAAAAGATACAAGCTTTAGGCTAAATCTAGTTAATAAAAAATAAAAATACATAATCAAAAGAAAATTCAAATTATACCATCTTCAAAGCCCAAGACTCTGAATCATCTATCTTCCCTCAACACTCTCACATGTACAAATACATGACAAACCGTAAACTTCAGAAAACCTTTTCTAAAGACTGAATTTAAGACCCAGTAATGGAAACCTTTGACTTCATTAGTAAGAGGAAAATAAAAGGCAAGCAAAGGATAGGAGTGCTTCACAGTGCAGGTCTGCAAATCACTTTTTACACACTAGAAATTGTACAAATCAAGTAAAGCTTTCTCTAACCTTTGCGACTGCAGGTCTTTATGCAGGAATCTATACATATGTACAGGCACAGATATAGGATTTACACAGGCAAAAATGCCTGCAACAACTTTAATCACTTAACTTACAAGGTAATTTGCCAAAGATTTTCAACACTATGAACTACATGTAACAATGACAAGGGATCCAGTCAAAACCGAACACTAAACAATTACAAGTTATAATATGTTCACTAAAGATTCTGCACTTGAAATTTTCAAGCTTCTTAGTTCTAGAAAACATATTAAGGAAAAGGTAATTCTTTTAAAAACATATTAGAGCTTCTTAATGACTCAAGATAAATGAAAATCAAGTCTTCCTGGATATATTCTAGTACTTTGAAATTCAGAGCTAGACAACTGAGCTAACACTAGAATTTACTCAAAGTTAATGAGGATTTGCAAACATACGAAATATTCATTTTAATCCCATATTGCCTTTACAAAATATCTTGGTTTTTTATTCTGCCCTCAAAACGTACACATCCCTCTTGGTTTTCAAAATTATTGAAGTGGTTAAATCTTAAAACACTAGGGTATTTTAAGATCACTAACCATACAGAACCCATCAGTGACAAATATCAATTGTGGATATTATAGTTAACTTTCAGGTGTAAGAACGGTATCCATTAACTCCTATATATTAGTAAGATTCTCAGGAAAGAAGAGCATAAATATGCTTTTTATAAATATATTCAGTCTAAGACAAAATTTAAGGTTGCTTTTGAATTTGCACCAGATGTCAAAAAGTAGTGGATTTCTTAGTATTCTCAAAATCAGCAATATTGATTGTACACTTCTCCCTCCACCGCTCCAAATCCCTCTTCATCTTCATTCTTCTCTCCTAGCACTCACAAAAAGCACCCCACATATACTGTACAAATACTGCTGTAAACATCAGAGCTGCAATTACATAACCATTTAAAAAAATTGCAAATGGCAAAATAATATTTTATAAAACATTTCAGTTGGTGTCTTAAAATATGCTATTACTATTAAAACCTTCAGCACATTAACTGAAAAACTCAAACATTTATGCTTCAGAAAAACACAATGCAGTTTTAGCTGTAAGTATAACTCAAATGAACACCATTCAGGTTAGTTTATCACACATTTCTATAAATAAAGCATGTAAACCACTTAATACAGAAAGGGAGGGTCAACTTATGAACAGGTTATATTCTAAATGTTCCAAAAGTTCATTTATAAATTGAATACAAGCTTATTTTTGAAACTCAAGATACCTTTTTTCACAAAACCAAAGAGATAAACAGTGTCATTAAATTCAAAATACAAAAGGATTTTAGTGTACAATTTGTACAATTTTATCATAGCATTCTTCTGCTTTAGCGTATTTCCGTAACAAACTGTAAGTTTCTTATTCATTGCTCTATCCTAGGATCTAGCACAGTTGATGACACAGAGTAGGATTTTAACAAATACTGGCTGATCTGAAGTACTACTGAATAGCAACAACTCAGATGATATGAAACTCAGTTGCCTAGGAAGCTTTACCTATCTGATCTACAGCAGAGACCCAAAAGGGAAGCGGAAAAAGCTTCTTCCAAAAGAGATACGACAGAAGGATGCTTAACACCAGAGTTAGAAAGCTCTAAGCCAACTGTGGCAATTTCCATTCCCCCTGCCAGTGAGTGGTTTAGCAATCAGCATTAATCTGATGCAATTCTGGCCAGTAAGACAAGAGAGAGAGTTTCTGGTAAAAGTTTTCCTGGGCTGATGAAAACAAAAACAACAGCAACAAAAAACAACCCCCCACACACAGAAACTTTTGAGTTTGAATTGTTAAGCAGAACTATGGCAGCCATCTTAGGACCATGAAGAAGGACACGGCCTAAGCAGACAACCCAACAGAAAAAGAATGACATTAAAAGATGGAAAAAATCTGGGTCCTTGGTGATGTTATGCTTAAGTGAAATAGCCCTAGAATCATTTTATTAACTTGTATCTTTTTATTATAAGTATATTAAATCCTTCTATTGTTTATGCAATTTTCAGTTACCAAAAGTAACCCAGTGGATACAGCCATTTAGGAATAGATACACTATTTCAATGAATTCAACTCTTATCTATACAACAGTAACTCTCCTAAATTTATATCTCAATCTAGATCCTTTTAAACTAGATACATATTTCCAAACTATTAAACAGCTATATTAAATATATATTCCAGTGATACATCAAGAGAACAAAATATAATAGCCGTCATCTATCAGCATAAAAATTGTTTATCACCCACATTCACTTTTCTGGCTAATGGCAGCATCATCTAAGTGTCAAAGGCAAAGATCTTTGGATCACTAGCCCCACCTCCCTCTACTTCACTTATTATATTTAGGCAGTTATTAAATGCTGCCTGCTCTAACTGATATATCTATCTCCCTCATCTCTATACTCATCTAGTGCAATCTCTCTTTCATGGAACTCACCTCCATTCTTAACTCTTTCACTGTACTCATGTTTCTAAAACACAACTGTGCTTCATGAAAAGACTTATAAACATCACAAGCCATTAGGAAGTACAAATTAAAGTTACACTGAGATACCACTACATTTCCACTAGAATGGCCATCACCAAAAAGACAGTCAACACCAAATGTTGGTAAAGACATGGACATTGGTAAAGACATTGTGTGAAACTCCCACACAATGCTGTAAAATCAATGTCGCCACTTTGGAGAACAGTTTGGCAATTTCTTAAAAAGTTAAATATGAAAACAAACTCACCATAAGATGCAAAATTTCCTCTACAGAAGAGAAATGAAAATATGTGTCTATACAAAGACTTACATACCAAATGTTCTCAGCAGCATTGTTCTTAATGGCCAAGAACTGGAAACAATCCAAATGTCCATCAGGTGGTGAATGGAAAAACAAAACGGGGCATAATCAAACAATGGAAATATTACCAGGTAATAAAAAGGAACAAAATACTAATACATATTACAACATGAATGCACCTCAAAAACATGCTAAATAAAAGATGCCAGATGCAAAATACTACATATTGTATGATTCGATGCATATGAAACACTCAAAAAAGGCAAATTTAGAGCTAGAGAAAGCAAAGCAGTGGTTGCTTAGGGTAAGTGG